AATCTTCTCTTTTTGGAATAGTGATGTGCATTTCAAGCCTATTTTATTCCGCTCTTCTGGAACTGCTAAATAAACACGGAAGTGAGAAACGAATGTGATAATATGGCTGGTTAACGTCGGTGCATTTGTGCAATTTCCATGACTGCATAACATTCTCATTTTTGTTGTTTCACGTACTGCTTTTCGTCATGCCCAGTTTCCAGTGAGATAGTAACGATTGTAAAGTGTCACTAGCGATAAGTTATGTTACAATTTGAACCGTATAATCGCGAGCATTTAGTTGGCTTTAGTTGGTTCCTAAAGACACCATTTACTAATTCGCCTGATTTCGTCGGGATGTTCTTGGGATAATCGTCTCATGTAGTATATACTCTCCCTCACATGACATTTTGGTAGCATATCTGCTCTACATTTTTCCTCCCACACATCCATTGTTTGCCTCAGAGCCGGAGGTCATTACGTTGTCGGACAGCGAATGTGAATGGCTTGAACGTTGGGAACAACTGCGACTACAATTACGTTTACGGTCGATGGAAAATACTTTTCAAGGTATGCGCAGTTCCGTTATTTCTTCTCCTATGCTCTTCCACTCCCTCCCTCATCGTCTTGATCGACAGATTTCTGCACCTTTACTTGTGATGAATGTCACCTTTGGTCTCGTCAACTCATCTTTTTCCCCAGTTGAGTTGGAGAGAGGTAGGAAGTGGTTGGACAAAGGTTAAGATCGGTCAAACTAAGACCTGGCATGAGAGTATGAAAACCCTAATCAGGACACGGGATCACATAGGTGCTGGTAAGCTGCCTGGATGGGGACCCCGAGATCCTGCTAACCGTTGGTTAGAGACACCGAGTGTGATATAGCTGGGTGTCGCAAACAGTGTCGCTCGTGTAGCTACTCATTATTGGTGCAATCCCACTCTATATGAATTGTCTATCTCCTCGTTAACTCTGTTTTCAACATTCCAATCTTCATTCTGCTCTTTCATCTAAATGGGCTGCTAAAAGACAGCAACCATAACCGGGGCACGAAAGTGTAAGGGTAATGGTTGTAAAAACTGAAACTTTCCAGAGGTCAAAACAACTTGCGCCGATATCCGTTATATACTGGAGTGTTTTCACCACGTAAGGTGTGTTGTATTTCGTGTTTTGAAGCTAACCAGATTCTGTTCTGCGTGATCGGGTGATACCTCAGAGTCCGAGCTGGCTCTTATGTGTCCGATCTCACAATCGGTGTCCGTAGCAAGAGCTTGAGTAAATGTGAAGTATTGAAGAGTCAGCAATTTGATTCTGTTAACTCCCGATTGCTCCCGATTGGATCACTATCACATGCCTCGTTTTTCTTCCATCCAGTCGAAACTGAGACAGAAATTAACGACGCCGTATCTGAATGGTTGCATCTGAGTCAGGATTCCGGATCAGATGAATCCGCTGTCGTCCAGGATGATCGACAGCAACAGAAACAACAGCATGCACTGAAACCGGTTCCAGACCCGAATCGGGTTGTAGGCGGGTCGCGGCATCAGTCTGCCCAATCTCCTCTGGCTCCCAGTTGTACTTCTGCGCAGACCTCGCTTAGTTCCGCCAGCTGTCAGGATCTGTTGCGATTGGCTCAAGCCACCGAAGAGGCTGATGCACCAATTTTGCAAGTGGGTGAATCAACTGTTTCAGATTGGTCGTTTTTGGCGTCCGCCATGGATAGGAACTTCTGGAATGACTCGAAAACCTTCGTAAGTTATTGTTCCAATTCTTCGGTTTCTTTTTGTGGTGCATTGCTTAAAAGTACGTCCAATAATAAGTTGAATTTTACTTATTTCACGTTTAAACAGAACGGTAGAATAGATTAGCCTCGTATTGACACGGACCCCCCGATTTGGGGTTGCGCAAACCCACCTCCATAACTTGTGAAACCTGGAATGGCAAATATAGAAAAAAGCGCTATTTTCCTGCAAATTTGCACCGATTCCTCCTTTTCTATTGCACGCACTTGTTTATTCAACGACAGATAGGATGAACCGCATAGTGACAAAGACCTGCTGTTCACTCATGGAAGAGACGGAAGGCAGAAAACCGTAATCCTGTGTTCACAGTCAGGCTCATGCGGTTTAGCAAAATCACACCGTTTTTGTGCAAATCCTGTTGGAACAAGAAAGAGAAAAAGCATGAGTATAGTAGTCAGTCAGGTTGCTAGTCTCATCCTTTTCGGGAGCTTATTTCTATAAATCTCTACGGAATGTTCTGACTACTTTCAAGCACAAGTTACTAATGTGATTGGGGTTTCCTTTAAAAAATGGTTTGGGGAAGTTTTTATATTTTACCTTACACATTTGGTTTAACTTTTTCTTCAGCTCAGCCGAATCAATGGTTCAGTACATTCCGTAGGCCTGACTGATACTTGCAACCATTCTCAAGATTTACTGGCCACTCAGTCAAGCACGGAGTCTCCAACTCCGGAGCGTTCCGCATCCATTCCGGTCACTATTCGATCTCCAACTCCAGTTGGAGATCCATATACGGACTTGGACGAAGCCAATACGGAAGCACTTATTGTGGCTCAGGCGAAAAAATCGGCCGTAGCCTACTTTTCTGGTCAACTGACTCAGACCACATTGGATACCCCGGAGGAGCAGACCGTCTTGGACGCGGATGCAAGCAGACTGGAGGCTGATGACGATCTGGTCATGTCTGAACGGATTCCTTCTGATGAGAACTACGCGGATGAGGACAATAATAATGCGAATAATGATAGTGATAATGCACTTACGTCACCTATTCCGGATGCGTTCTGGGTTAGTCATAGCTTTGAGGATTCTCACTCATGTCACCCGAGTTTTCCAGTTGTTTATGCACGTCTTTTCTTCTCCTTAGAATATCATTATACTATGTATAGTATATTTGAAATTTCATTTTAATCCATGCTGTGATCCAAACGATGGACGCTATCGCAATCTTTTTGATTGTTGCGCTATCTACCCATGGGTGGAATATGACCTAGTTGGCGGATTCACAATCGAAGCCTTTGATCGAC